ACTGCTTTACTGCTCTTGGCTGTGCAATTTGCAAAGGAATATTATGTAACTCAACCTCTCTTTCCACAGACACTGTGTTAGGGGGGAAGAGAAAAACATTGCTATGCTCATAATAAAATAAAATACTGGTGAGAACCCTGAATTACATTTTTAAAGATACTAGAGATGGACCGAAACACCATTTTTTTCTTGTATCGGCCAATATGTGCATGCCATGGCCGATCAAGTAAATGAAGGGAAAAAAAACGAAATCGAGCGAAAAATAATTCCAAAGACATCGGAAGCACATTTTAGGGTTAGATTGAGGCAAAAGAAAATCTGTGTCAGCATAAATATCTAAAATAAATTATACCAGATTCCAGGATGAACTGTAAGCCCCGCCCCAGTATTTTTTCTCCGACATGCACCATACACGCATACCTCATAATTGTGCACAATCCTTCGCAGCACAATTTCATGTATTTAATAAAGATAAAGAAAGTAACACAGCTATGACCTGCTGATGAGAAACTGAAGAGTTAACTGTCTAGCAGAACTAAAACCACTTTCAGGTTCAACTCTGAGCCTTTACTGCAAAGCTTTCCAGCAGGATTAGGATGTCCCAGTGTTTTCACGTTTGTTTCTTTGTTGGTCACTCTTATGCTTCAGGTTCTCTTCTCTTCATCTGTTTTTCTCCTTTTACGCAGCCTGTCTGTGCAGTGACAGACAGTGGAGGTATCACTACCACGCTGGTGCTTCGTCAGCCGTGCTGTTCTGTTTATACATGCACACACTGCGGGGCTGCTGCTTAGCAAATGCTCTGGTCCTTGTTGTCCCATTGGCAGAGAAACGCTGTCCCTGGATGACCCTAGTCTCTGTTTATAAAAAAAAGCCTGTATTCACTCAATACTTCAACACTTCAAATTTTCAATATCAAGTTCTGCCTATTAACTTATAATTCAGACAGTTAAGACATTTCTATGAACCAAAAAAGCGACCCTAATGTCACAAGCATGTCGTTGGCATGGTTGTTGCCAACACTGAGGCCTAACCACAGATCATGGATTTATAAGTAGAGCATCATCGTTTAATAGCAAATGTTGCCAAGTGGCTCTATCCACATATCATCAAAGTCACGAGTTCAACGTCTGAGCGGAACTGATCAGTGATTTCTTCAGATGTTACACTGAGAATCGCCCACTTTCAAAGCACAAAACTGAACAGTGAGTCCTTCAGCCAGAGGCTCGATCTCCATCTCCAGATCCTAACAGAGATCTAGGACGAGGGAGATAAAGGCGAACACAGCAGCTTGGCCCCAACTTCAAACAGTACTGACGCTACTGATCAAACTACAATGTGGCGACGCTGCTTACGGATAACTATGGAAATGAGGATTATCTAAACTCTCAGGCGGTGACACTTCCAAAAATTCAGCAATTTGAGCCACAAACTGAATTCTTCAATCAAGCTCAAATGCTGCAGAGGCTGCAGAGACATCACAGCCTTTTTCTTTTCCCATGAATGTGCACAAGGAAAAAATTCACATTCAGCAAGATGCACAGCAGGACAACCAGGACTACTGCAGGATCTTAAAAAGGAACTCAGCAGGTAAAAGTTCCAGCATGAGACAAATAACTAAAGCAGCCCTTATTGGATATTCATTGCATGTACTGGGTTCTGTTTAACCTCCACCTTGAAGCTGGCATACATCAGGGTAGAGGCTCGGGGGAGAGAGTCTGTCAGGAGTATCAGGCGCATCACTGCAGGTTTGTCAAATCTTTGAGCCGACTTTGTTGGGAAAAAGACCAGAGGTGGCACAAGTGATGAGGTGAGGACAATTTTTTAGAGCTGTCTTCAAACTGTCTCATGTCGGCCAGGTTCCTATTAGCACCTTCAAGAATTTGCCGACAGCACGAATGAGGAATTTCTTTCAAATGAAAAGGCAATTTATCATCTCTTCCCACTGGATGTGACTTGAACTGCCTTTAGAGATCTTGATATGAAAGAGTTTACTTTGGACAAAGGCTTAAATATACTAGGATATAATAAATTATGTAACATGTCAAAATTGATTTTTCTGCAATCAAGTTCTGACAGAGTCATGATGAAGCTTCAGGTAAAAGGGGAAATTCCCATTTATTTCTTTGAACTAAAGAATATTATCTGGGACCTTAATGTTATCCAGAGAACAATTTTTAGTTTTTTCTTGATATTAAGAGCGAAATATGTTACATCTCCAAATCCAAATTACTAACAGCAGTTAGGGGGGATGTTTACACGGAAGCTAATTTTTTAAAAGATGAAAAAGTTCAACCTAATTTCTAAGGTTATAGCTAACAGAAAATGAAAGCCTAACATTTAGTGTCTCAGAAATTAAAATATCAACCTGTCCGGCCCCAGAGGGTTTCAAAAGCAATTTCCTCCTAAAAAAAATATACAAGTGAAATAAATGAAGGACGGCCTCACATTGATCAGTTCTAAACACAATTTATGGTACCAATTTAAAAGTTAGCAATACAAAGATACAGCTAGTTTATTTATCATTACACAAATAAAATAACATTTTTGGAAAGAAATAATGGAAGTCCTTATGGGAACCATTTTTATCAACACTGTTACCATAACTGCAGCAAATTAAGACTGAATCAGTCGCAACATATTTGTTTCACTATGGTTTTAGTGGGTCATTGTGCCAGAAGGAGCTGTCATTATGAACTATTTAGCCAAATCTACCAAAACTGTCAAAACTCCTGCATTTAACAGCACTTCAGTCATGCTGTTTATGGTGTTCATCATCAGCTGTGATCAGAGCAGTTTGTAAGGCACAAAGTTTAGAAAAGTGTTTTACAACTTTTAATACCTCTGCATTGAAATAGCAACACTTGATTATGGCCACAACAAAAATGCCATAGGTTTTAGAAATATAAGGATACCAGCCAGGACAGAGCAACAACATATCTGTTTTTGTAAATATCAAATTTTTCCATAATAATCCACCATATTTAATAGATCACTGAGTTGCATGTTTTGTGTTTAAAGTGGTAAAAAAAAAAGCTAGTTTCTTGAGAAACTTTAAAGCCTCCATCTTTGAGAGATTCATGAAGAAAGGCCAACATTTCGCCTAATTTAACAGAAGATTAAAAGTAGATGTCAATCCCTTTTATAGGATGAAGGTGATGAAGGTTCTTTGGTCTTCAAGAATCCAGGCTCAGTTTTGTTACAGGTGATGGTGGTTTAATGTGCTCATCAAGTCAAAACAGGTGCCAAAGAAACTATATACATTTACACGGTCCTCTGGGCCTCAGCCTCCCTCCTGTTACCAGCAATGTAACAAAGAAAAAGAAAAGCAAAGTGGCTGCCTTCCGTCCCAGGCCTCAATAAATAGATTAAGCCCCTCCTCTTAGGCTCAATTATCCCTAATTTCCCCACAAATCAGTTTTATCTAAATATTATTACGTCTACACACAATCAGAATCAATATACAAAAAAACACATACATTTTACATTTTCATTCCTCTTTACAGATTCATGGAATTCTTCATTTGAAACCAACTTTTAACCACAAAATAAAAAAATAAAAAATAAAAACGGACAAACCTTTAGTGAGTCACGTGTTGGCAACATCACTCTGCATACTGACTAGGGGTGTAAGTCACACTCATCATGGCGATTCTATTCAGTATCGATTTCCTGACCCAATGATTTGACTATTTTCGATACTTAATTTGTAATTTTTTTTTTTACCTTACAGGCTAGACAATGTTTTAAGTTTGAAATAAATCAATGAAAGCTGTAATATCATTATGCATTTTATTTGAGAAACAACAGCAAATAACAGAAGTAGCAAAGCTGTGCTCCATCTATGCCTATGAAAACCCCATTCACTGAAAAATACTGATGCCTCTGTGCTATAGATTCTGAAAGGCCTTGCATCACAAAACAAAAAATACTGAGAGGGTAGTGGCTAAAAGAAGCGAGGTAGGAGGACAAAATAGGTTTAGCGCCACCGCAGCACGGGAGTCAGAATTACATTTATTTTTTTTTATATTTTTATTTTATTTTATTCATTTTTTATTTTTTCCTACTTGCTTTGATTCTGTTTTATCTTCCTGTATTTTAATCATGTAAAGCACTTTGCATTGTCTTTGTACTGAATTGTGCTATACAAATAAATTTGCCTTGCCTTGCCTTACATCCAGGAGCAAATGAATAAAAATAAACGCGATCATCGGCTGTTGAATCAATGCATGAATACAAAACGATTATTATTTACACCACTAATACTGACAAACCTGGGATTTTAACCGTCGACTGGACGTTGTTTCGGGTTTGAACCCAGCAATGGCGCCAACAGACATGACACAAACACACACACACACACACACACACACACAGTAAACCCCACTGAAATATTTAGTATGCACCCTCAATACACCAGCAGGTAACTAGGCAGCACTACTGTGTGTTTTGTTGATGAAATGCAACTATAGTTAGCAAAAGCATAGCTTTACGGGGATGTTTGTGAGCATGCAAAGTCAGCAAAGTCAGATTGTGAAGAATCCGCTTCAGTGACGAAGCGGATTCTTCACAATCAACAAAAAAATATATTTTAAACCTACATATGAGGATTCAGTTAAATTTTATTCATTGCTGAAAATAACAGTTTTCAGTATAGATAACATTAACTAACAACACTCGTTGTCTCCCAGTGCTTCTAAAAATAATTTTCATTTCTGTTCACCAGATATCATGTTGGACCTTGCTTTGCATAAATTACCAAATAAGTGAGGCTGTGAATCTTCACGAGATTTACTTGCCAATCCTGTCAAGGCTGTGGTTATCTATTTTGGGTGACACTTTATCCATCCACTAAATGTTCTTACAAGATTCTGATTCTTGCTGAATTATCCTTTTTTTTGTAATTGAATTTGGAAAGGAATAAAAAAAATAACAAGCAAAAAAACAGCTATAATATTTATCTAACAATATATATTTATCCAGCAGAATTCAAAGTGACTCACCAAGACAGTGAAGACATCAGTCCAGCTTCTTCTAAGGGAATGATGATCAGGTCACAAATTCAAACAAATCTCAGATTCAGGAAAAAACAGATTTCTGTTGAGAGAAAAAACAACAATAGAGACTCAGGTAAGTGACATTAGGACGGTTTCTGGTGCACTGAAAAAAATAGTACAAACAGGCTAATTTGTGCATTTGATGGCTGATTAATCAGTGCAGGAAAAAAAAGCAATATTGAGCCAAAAATCAACCCAAAGACATCGGAAGCACATTTAAGGGTTAGACTGAGGCCAATAATCTGTGTCAGCCTAAAAATCTCCGTACCAGTCAATTTCTGAAATAAAATATATCTGATTCCAGGATGAACTGTAAGCCAATCATTTTTTTAAGCCAATCATTTTTTTTCTGACCAAGACACCACGTCTCCAACCTGCACCAAACACATTTACCTCATGCTTGTGCACAATCCTCTGAAGCAAACTTTCATGTATTTAACAGTCACAGATAAAGAAAGTAACACACAGCTATGACCTGCTAATGAGAAACTGAAAAGTTAACTGTCTAGAAAAACCAAAACCAGCTGGAGATAGGCACCAGCACCCCTCGCGACCTCGCTTGGGATACAGAAAATAAATGGATGGATAGATTAACATTGTTCCATTGTCCATTGTTTAAGACAAGGAAACCATATGTGTGCATTGATATTTAGTGAGAGGAACCTAAACACAGTTCACCAAATCAAAATAATCACAGAGATGAACCAGAGATGGTGGTGGACCTAATAAACAGCTGACCTAATGGAAAACAGATTCCACAAGCCTCATGACCGACCCAGGAACAATAGAATTACATTTTTATAGAGAATTTAGCTTTAAAGGGCAAAATAATCTTTACATATGCTCAGTGTACACATCTTATAGTACAGGCAATACCCAACACTGTAAGAAGGCCTTGACAGCTTCTGTATAATTCAACAACCACTTTAACCTTCATGCATTAATTTCCCCTCCGCTGTAACTTATTTAAATAATGTTGGGTGGCTTTCTGCTGACGTTTCTGCTCCTAACTGTGATCCAGCTCAAGTCCCAATGAGTCTCATGGAGAACAGCTATTTTCTATTTAATGCAATCAGGACTTAAAGTGCCAATTAAGGAGAAGAATATTAGCATAAATGACATGAAAATATTCAAGGAGGGTCAAGTATCACAGCAAGGATGTGGGCTGATCGAGTGTGTACTGCTGTCTGGTTATACTTGGCAGAACTGAGTTCAATAGCTGAACATTTAAATGGGAATGTAGAGATAAATGGAAGTAGTCAGACTGATGGGCAGCGTCCTCCTCAGAGACAGCTGCAGGATCAGTAATCCATACTGATTAAACAGTACACCTCCTGTCTGTGGAACAGACAGATACTGGAGCAGCAACGCAACACAAACAAGGCTGAGAAGAAGAGAACATCGACTTTATTTACCACAATATACAAGTTTGATCAGGTTTTAGGACAGTTTTTTCCTACATCTTTGTAGATTCTAATTCCCAATATTGATTGATGAACAGAAGAATATAAATATAAATATTCAACAAATGATGGACACACAAGCAGACCCTGAAAGTATGGATGAATGAATGGTTGGACAAAATATTTGATCTGGCGTGATGGAGCTTAGATGATAAGACCAAAACTTATATCACCATACATTTCATAGTTAGAAAAAATAAAAGCCCAATAAACAACTGCCAAGATTGCTCACAGCAGACACCTGTACAAACATATCCCAATTATTGTTGCCATGTCTATAAAACTGCAACATAGCATTTAAAAAAATAAAAAAAACCAAAACCATTTAAACCCCAGAATGTCAGTCACTGACAAATGTAATCATAGACTGTAATATATGTTGGAATATCAGAAATGTGTTTTTAAGAGTCGTATCATTAAAAAATTATTAAACTATATTGTGATGAATGAATGAATGAATGAATGAATGAATGAATGAATGAATGAATGAATGAATGAATAGGAATTTATTTCCATTTTTTTAGTCAAACAACAATAAATGAATCACACAAAAGATTCTACTTAACATCAACCAAACCAAACACCAATTTTCAAACCAGCTAAATTCACCTGAACATAAATGTATACAAAACTCTCCACCCAAAAAAACATGTCGGTATATCCAGCCAGAGAAATGAAATCGATCTGAAAAGCAGTATGAAGAAGTAAAACTTATTTTTCATTTTGAAATATATCGATATTGAAATACTTTGTCTTTTTTGTCCCATTTGTCATATATATCTTGGTCTTGTGATAGACAATTTAATCTGGATGTAAGCTGCTTCTTGCTCACTAACCACTGGAGGCTGGCACCAATAACTCACCAATGGGAATAAAATGGAGTGAGTCAGAGGATGGATGGATGGATGGATGGATGGATGGATGGATGGATGGATGGATGGATGGATGGATGGATGGATGGATGGATGGATGACGCCTCCCTCAAGTAATTCAGCCCCCCCGTAATTGACATTTATGCACGATTTTTGCACGCCTCGTATCACTTTACTTGGATTTATCACTTTATTTGGATTTAGTTTTTACATATGCATAGATATACGTACAGATATATATACAGAAGAGCTATATGTGTATATATTTTATCTCTTTTTACTCTTATTTTTTTTTAATCTTTATTATATTGTATAGTTGGATGTGCGTATATATTATATAAAACTGTAACTGGAGCGTGTAACAAAAGTAATTTCCCTCTGGGATTATTAAAGTATTTCTGATTCTGATGGACATTATACAGTAGGATTGATAGATGAAAGAATGGATGGGTGGATGGATGATTCTTTGCGTTTTCTATAGACATTTAACTGGTTCCTTCACTCATTTTATGATTATTCAAAATTATTTTGATATTCCTCTGCCTCTTCAGTTTCCCTAAATCTTTATTCTCATGTCTTTAGACAATATGTTTTGTTGTTTTTGTAATGTTTCTTGCCGTCCTTGCTTCCCCTTTGTGAACAGCTTTTTTTTCCCATTCCCCCCGTTTACGGTTTTAAATCAATTGTAATTTCATACAGAAGCTGTGCTTCTTTCAAAGAGTCATGTGCAAAGGAAATTGGTATGAGAAATCTATAGGAATAAACCAATATTTTTCTAAAACCTGGAAACAAATGGATTAATAATCTTACACTCTGCAGCCTAGGAATTTAGAAAGCACATATAAAGAATGACAAAAAATATGCTAAATGGTTCGTGTATTTGCATTTAGGCTGTTATGCCTTAGCGTCATGGGATAAATATGAACATGGGATAGAATGTGAAATATTAACTGTTTTCAGACTGTAGGTGAAATAATCCAAATAGATGGAACACAGAACCTCCTCTGCCTTTTAATAACTATTTTTTTCATACACTAATAAAATAATCTGAGCTTAGCATTAAAGATAATTAAAAAATAAAAAAAAAACTTTGAAATCCTAAGTCCTTTGAGTGTAAACCAATTAAGAATACTTAATTTCCTTAAACATGGTGCAAACGGTAATCCTAGATCTAAGGAGCCTTAGAAAAAACCCTCTAGTGAAGCTGCAGATTCTCTGGAAGAACAAACTTTGGAAGAACAAACTGAGCTTTAAATCTACAGTTTAAAAAGAATCTTAAACAACACAAACATCCCCAAAACAAAGAGAAGAACGTCGGGAATGAAAGAAAGCAAAAAATAAAAACCCTGAATACAGGACCACCTGCTGATATAGTTTAGAATTTGACAAATGGCTGTCATGTTTTCTGTCAGCTGTTTTCACACTATCACTCTTTTGCTTTATATCTCTCTTAGCGTGAGCGACAGCTCTGAGGCTGAGAGCGAGTCTGGCTATCACCCAAACAAGGTAATATTTCACAGGGGACGGATGTCTTTGCCATCCCCTGCGGCTGGTTGAAAACACAAACTGGGTCAATAAACTGATTGGCATGAGGCTCTGACTCACGAGTCACGTCTCACTCTGACAAATCTATCAGGACTCACCACAGACTGAAACTAAACGCTGGCATGCTAATTTACATCCCTGCAACGGAAGCTGGAAGTTGTCATCAAGATAAAAATGTAATCTACCTTTGTATAGGACCAATAAAAAATATGATATAACTAAATATCATGACAGATCCATCTTTAGCCTTGTACCAGCTTTCCACCTTTATCAAGTATATCTCATTATCATCAATATAACTAGAAACCAGGACTTCTTGCTGTTTGGTTTTCTAGAGAAAACAGGTTAGGTAACAACACCGTGGTGAAGGTAAATCTGTCTATTGAGTGGAAAATTAGAAATCTACTTTTTCTTCCTGGGGAAAAAGATTATTTAACTGTGAAAAATGTCAAAGACAGCAGTCGATTTTTCCAGGAAACAATGTTGACAGCAGAGTCACCCCAAAGCCAGGGCATGTAATGCTCGGTAAAAGTGCAAAAAACCCAAGATCTTCACCTCAAACTCAATGTGTTAAAGGTTATGACAAGAAAATAAACAGAACAAGTCAGCATTAGTTGAATATGGCAGCAACTTAGGATGCAAAGCTGCATTTTGAAACAATCCCCCCAAAATTGGAACAATTTAGACAGTTTAGACCCAAGCAAATATGTTTGGCCAAAATGTTTTTTCGTGCAAAAAGGAATAAAATTTAGCATTTCAACATTAGGCATTGTTAAAGTCAGCCCAAAAAAAGAAACTAGCAGGAAGAACAAGACTTTATCGATGACAGTGGAGAAAACAGAGAGATGCCCAAACATTGTAATTCCATATCAGGAGTTTGAGAAACTCAGAGGAATCTTCGCTAGAGATAATTTTAAACCCAACAACATATTCAGACAAAAACTTGTTTGTCTGAATAAAGCAAAGATTAGTTTAAAAGACAGTGAAAATGAAATGATTTATGTCTACATTTGGTTGAAAAGTGAAAGAAAAGTGAAAAAAAAACAGGGTTGCAACATCTTTTCAATGTCTATTATTGACTGTAATGGAACAAAATCAGACCGACCAAACAGATTCGCCTTTTTAAACAATAATTTCTGGACTAAATCAAGACTATGATG